CTCCGGACCTCCCCCCTCTCCCAAAAAAAAAACAAACCACGGAGGGACGGAGGGAAACCCGTCCGCCACCAGCGGAACCTCGGATTGCCGGGCGGGCAGCGCGGAGCTCCCCGCGCAGAGCCGCGGAGCATCGGCTCGGTTGGACCGGCTCCGGCCCGGCGGTTCCGCTCCGCACAAGCTGGCGTAAACGTGCCTTTTGTTTTTTATTATTAACGCCTTTTTCATTAGAAAACACCTTTTTTAAAAAAATTATTATTAAAAAGAAAAAAAAAGACTTCGCTAAAAATTTGCGAGTGAGGGTTTCTTTTGTTTATTTCCTCCCTTTTTCTGAGAAGAAGGTAGAGGCGAGTGGAGAAATGAATCCCACCCAGGGCTCGCGTTTAAGAAAACTTCAGGTTTAGCCATCAATTACAGTTCAGAAAAGTTCCGATTTAGCCCTCCCCGCCCGTCCGGAACTCCCGGGGTGTAAATCCTTCCCCAGGTGCTGGATTATTGGCTGTTACGGTCCGTCGGGTGCGTAATTTTGGAGACCTACACATGTATTTTGGAGACCTACACGTGTATTTTGGAGACCTACAGGCGTTATTTGGAGACCTACACGCGTGTAACACGCGTACCCGAGCAGGCGCTTTGCAAAATAAATGATGTGCCCCCAAAACCGCGTAGGTGTTAGAGCCCGTCCGCCCTCTCCCCTCGGCTCCACCTGGGGTATCCCCCCCCACGCCCAAGTCCCCTCCGCACCCGCGCAGCGCAACCCGCCCTCCCGGGGGCTCTAAACCCACCCCGCGCACCTCCGCACCCGCGGCTTTGGGGGAAAAAAATAAAATAAAACAAAATAAAACAAACCAAAACCTCCCCGGGGCTCAGGCGCCAACGATTTTTTTTCCTAAGGAAATTATTTCCCTCCCAAAGTGCTAATGAATCTCGTAAGGAGGGAAAAAAGGAGAAAAAAAAAGTTATTTTATTTTATAGGTAAAAACAAATGTACAGGTATTTAAAGATGGATATCTGGCTATTTCAGAAAGGCAGAGCTGAGCGCGGCCGCGCAGAAAAACAAGGCGGAGGGAGGAGAGAGGGAAAGGCGGGCAGAGAAAATAAAATCTCGATATTTACGTGTAATTTTGACCTTTGCAGCCGCGCCGGATCCGGCCCCGCGCCCGCCGCCGCGGGTTCAAAGTGCGGGAAGGCGCCCGCGGGGAACAAAAGAGCGGAG